CCCCCAAACCATTGATCCTTGGCTGGCACGGATGGGAATAACGCAGATTTACCTAGCCTGGCCTCCTGCAGGTGGATCTGGGACCGGCACTATATCAGAGGAGCAGACTGAACCATTTGTCTCGCAGTGCATTAACCCTCTTGCACGGGGAGCGTTGTTTGAAAACTGCAAAAGCATTGAAAACTGTGCATTAGGCTCAGCAAACGTGGGAGAATGGCATAAAGGTTTCAAGAGCTTACAAATAACACCAGAAACCTGATTTGCTTCCTCGCCTTCTGTTGTATTTTCAGGGGGAGTGTCACAAACATTAGGGCTAAAAGTGTTTGGTTTTAGCGCCAAATAGAAGTCTTAACGTATAAGACGATTTTAACAGCAGAGACTTTAAGGATGACCCTAAACATCACAGAAGTTGCTATTAAAAAACACAAGAACTGTATTTTAAAAACCAACTAAGTCAACCTTTGCTTTGAGTGAGGAAAGGATATATGATATTATGGAAGTTTACATAACCTATTCATTCTGAAAGCCTGAGGGTTGTCATGACATATTTAAGGGGCGATGCACAAACCAGTGATCCCATTTAAGAAACTTAGCAATGTATCAGACCTACGTGAGGAAGACCACAGAGAGGAGGAAACATGCATAACTGTAATATGCTCAATTTATGGTGGAAAGTGTCCAGTTGTTGCATTTTAAGCTGCTTTTGGGAATGCAGTTTGGGAGAATTTCACTGTCTTTCTAGAAAGAGTGAGTCAATCTCTGTATTGGATCCTTTCTCCAAAATGAAAAGCTCTGCAGGGGCACGCTCTGGTTGCACATTAAACCCAGCAAAGTTGTGTGAGGGATCACAGCCTTGATTATTAAAACACCCATGATATCTCACTGATGTCCTTTGTTAAAGTTCTCTGTTGCCTATCCAAGTAACAATATTGGTCCCGCAATGAGCTCCAAGGGACTCTCGGTCCCTACCGAGTCATTGAAACAAATGGACCATCACCCAAGAACAAACGTTCCCCTAGAATTTGCTGAAAAATCCCTCATGCCCATGAGGGATGCCTTCTCATCTTGGAAAACATTTGAGGAAGGATCATCATTGAAAGGTGGTGTAAAAGCCAATATATTTAGCCCATCAGAAGGGCTAGAGCTTAAGGTCATTGAACTGGTCTCTTAGCCCGTCCCTCTGTTTAAATCAAGGACAGCTTGTAAGTGTGTTCCAGCTGAGCTCCTTACAGCAATGGCCTCTGAAATAATGAGTACCACCTTGTCCAAGGAGATTAACAGTTAACACATTGATTTGTAGCATCAGTGTGTATCCCCTGACAGTGCTATATATCAGACTCCATTGCTTTAAAAAAAAAAAACCTGTGTATCTCAGGTTGGAACAGATGTTCGACCCTCTTTCCTGTTCCATGACCTTCTGTGCTGGTCAGCTTGATGTGAAACTCGACAACAGCTGCAGCGAGTGTGCCCAGGGTCAGCAGCGCAGAGCTGCTGCCACCGGGCGCGTCCCCTCCAGCGGGCTCTGCTCAGAGGGGCACTCGCTGGAGAGCTTCCCGCTGCCCTCCTTCTTCTGCCCCACGTACCACCCTGGGCTCAGCTGCCACCTCCTCTCACCTGCCCTCATCTGGGGACTGTCACCTCCTGGGAGACAAAAGGTGAGAGGTTTGGTTAGGTGCCTAATGTCTGTGCCTCAGCTTGCATGGTTGTAAGAACACAGGACAGAAGATAGGAGCACAGGTGTGTCTGCCTCCAGCATAGGCGTCCAACATAGGCGTGCTGCTGCGTTTTCAGCTAGTGGATTTCCCTTGCAGCTATAATTCTGGTGCATTAAAACAAAGCCAGCCTCAAGATGACAAAAGTGGTACACCATTGGAATGAGATTTACAAGGGTGCCTTAGTCAAATGCCAAGAATGTGAACCCCTTTGACATTCATTTTGCCTTCCACTACGAGAGCAGCCACAGGTTCAACATTACTATGCTTATCAGTTGGACGACACCTCTCTCATATAAATTAAAGAGCTTATGTATTTGACAGATCTGAGTGGAATAGAAAAACAATTTGGTCAGAGTTCTATCAGAATATAATTATCACATTTTTCTTGCTTCTTCTAATTAATTTATGAGACTTCATATTATTACTTACAAAAAATGCTTACTTCTGATTTTCTCAGATCAAGATTATTTCCATTAATTATCTCTGTCAAGGCTTCCACTAAGACACTCAGCCTTTTCACTACTTCATGCTTGTGACATTTTGTATATTACTGCCCTTGGTTAGCTTTTCTTTTAATTACGGCTTTCTATAGCAGATGGGTTTCTCGTTCCTAACAGGTTTACACATTTATATTACGTAGTCTTTTTTGGGCAAGATATAATAAAAGAGCAACCAGCACTAAGTGATGGGGAGAGAAAAGACCTGCTCTTACACTCATTAATTGTTTGTTTGAACAGACAGATTCATACATCGAATTTATATGCAAGGACTGAACAGTAACTCTCCTGCTGTCATGACCAACACGCAGGCTCAAATTCAAAATGGAAAAAAATGACTTTGAAGTCCACTGAATACCATCTACATTACCCTCATTGTTTTTCCTGTTGGTAACACTGCACGTAATCATCTAATCATACCTTTATTTCAGCATCCCTGTTGCTGATTTTTTAATTGCTGTTGTGCCGCAGTGGTAGAACAGCGAGATCTCGAATAACGTGTGACAGCTGGCATTTTTACTACTGTGCCATTTAGCACTGCTAAGCTAAGCAATACTTGTGGCTGTTTGTGGTGTACTTGTCCACTCGTTGTTGTACCATTAGTGGATCTGTGGAATTTTCCAGTCAGATCAGGGTGAAAAGGAGATTTCAGGCTCCATAACTCAGTTTTGTAGAGGGAGTGGCAAAATCCCCAAGTGAAACATTCTGTCCCCACCTAAACGTTGAAGGGTCCACTTACAAAAGCTCTCCTCATCTGAATACAGAATAATTTAAATGCATATCTGGATAGGGCTTTAAGCGGGTTTCATAACTGACTGCACACTGGTTGCCACAGGTACACCTGGGTAACGATGCCTAGCCATCTTAGTCAGAATGAGCTCATCAGATAATACATACACCGTAGCCAATTTTTGCCAAATCAAAACCTGCATAAATGCTTGTGTTACCATAGTGTAGGTATTGGGAATGAGCAGTTGGGGAAAACTGGAGGAGAGCAAGTCCACAGATGTTGGTGGCAGCATGGTGGCACTATGCTGAATGAAAGCGGCCATTTAGCTGTGGCCTGAGAATGAATGTTCCTGTCAACACTCTCTGTTATAAATTCAGCCATGTTTTACTGAACGATGTTTAAACTAAAAGTTTATGTAGGGAAGCACACTTTAAAGCAAAATGTAATGTGACCTGTATCAAGCAAGCATCTCTTACTTTAAACTGAGCTTTTAGGTAGACAGGTCACTAGGGGTATACTTTATCTAGCATACCCTGTAGGTATAAATTATATCATCATTTCTTTACCTTGATTAAAAATATAAAGAGAGGAAGGAGGAGGTATTGTATCTTCCTGCTTCTCAAACTGCCTTCACAGAACGAAGATATTGCAGAAAAGACTTGCCAATGCTCCAGCCTAAAACGTGTCAGTGAAGCTGCAAAGTAGCAACTGCCTGGTATGGCAATATAGTTGACCTTTAGAGCAACAGTCTGCCAATGGATTTTGAAAAGTTACTGTGGTCATATAAGAAGTGAACTAGTAATTGTTTGAGTTTTGCTCCTGTTTCTAGCTATGCCCCTGACAAGTCTCTTGATGTCTGTCTCGGCTTCTTCCACAGATTATATAAAATTATTTTCTTCACAGCACCATGAGACTTGTCTTTCTGCTCTTTGGATACTGCATTTTGGATACCTGGCTAATTGATTCTTTCCACTTCTTTTACCTGACCCATCCTGACTTTGCATGGTATAAGAAAGAACCTTATTAATTGCTTTACTTGGTAATGCACTTGGTAAGGCTGCCTTCTCTTAGATGCTTTGGTTGATTAGCACTGGGGGGTTTGCTTGCTAGCTTTGTTTCTGTTTACAACAGCAGCATACTACTCCACTACAGGATGTTTTTTTTTAAAGTAATGCACTATAAATGTGGCATTAAAGTTGGCTGCTTTCAGGCTTATTCAGGGAATCTGAGCACAGAACCTGTGCCAGATTCAACAAAAGGTCAGGGCTGAGTGCTTCTGGCCCTGCGAGGGAAGCTACGCCGCTGTGTCCCGGCTCGCAGGCCACGTGTGCGACAAACTGCACACCCGCCTCAGGAGGAGACTGTCCCTCGAGCAGGGACACGCTGCAAGTTAGCCAACAGGGCACATGGTGAGGTGGGGAGCGTGTCCTATGTGCCTAAGCCCCAAAATGCAAGGAATTTGCTCCAGTTGAGATGCAGAGCCTGGCACTTTCACCTAAATCAACGTGCAAGTCATTTCTTTCAAAACTGGACTACGCATGTTCTTTTTAGCAGCACGTAAGTGAAGCATTAACAGTGCTTTCTCTGTTAGATAATAACACAACGCTTAAAGCACCTCCAGCGATAAGAGAAGACGTGGAGCCCGGGACCCTCATACCTTGAGTTAGTCCCTGAACGCAGCCAGAGTCGCGTGCGATTTCTCGTCTAATGACTCTTTCTTTAGTTACGCCGAGCGCTATGACGTTCCTTCAGTACCAGCAGCTGAGAGGTGGTGCCCGTATGAGCGCACAAAACGAAGCCGAGGCACGGCACGGCGTCGCCCACCCTCTCGTCCCTCCCACGCTCCCTGGCAGGGCTTTGGCCTGTCTCCCCGAGACGAGGCCTGCCCGGGGTTTAGGGGAGAGCCCAGGCCAGGCGCTGTGGGGGAGATGGTTTGGACACGCCTGCGGTGATCGGGAGAAGCAGGGAAGAGTTTCCCTGCGCAGACGTGACCGAGGGCCCTCGGAGCCAGAGCGCGGTCCTAGCGTTAGCGCTGGAGACCATACTCCAGTATTGTAAATTATTAATAACGTATTTTAAACGACATAATAATTATGAATAATATATAATTTAAAAACAACACACGAATCAGAGAGAGAGAGAAAGCAGGAAAAAACCACCACCACGTCCCCCGAAGCGGTAGCGCACAGC